ACGTTCAGACCTCTAAACTTTTTTCATTCGACCGAACTTGGTTACGAAATACTTCTCTACGAACACATACACTTACTCACATACATATATATATATGACGGACGGTATAATAATGATAAAAAAAAAATAATAGTAATAAAAATAAATAAGCAAACCGCCGACTGTGGAAATAATAATAAATTGGATTTTTTGTGCGTCAAGTACTACATATGTATACGTATGGAGTGTATAAGCACTAGAGTGTCCGGGTGGAAAGGTTAATTTGACGTGCATTACCCACCCACCCACAAGCGATCATCGTATAGCAAAAAGCACTAAACAAAAATGGAAGGTTGTAAAACGATTTCGAAAACTTTTGAAAATACATATAAAACCCGATGCAGAATGCGGTATTCTCATTACACAACAAAATGACACCGTTCAAAACTTCACATGATTTTTTCCCCTCGTTATTCGTTGCTCGTTACTCGCGTTACTCTATAACGGCCAAACCCAATGAATATACTTATGGCTGTCAGGAAATGCAGTTGAATAGTTTTGTAGTTCTAGGAATTTGTACCTTGTACGGTTGGTAATGGTCTAAAAAAAACCAAAATTACTTCACAAAACTTAACGTTAGACGTCATTTAAAAGACCTAGCAGTTAAATCAGTTATATCAGGCAATATACGAATTCTATTCGCATACAACACCTTATTATACACACACAATATATACACTCATGTATAATAAAAACACTTTTATTATATTATATGGGGAGAGTAAAAAATATGATGTTATTCAACTACGTTTACCGACTTAAACATTGAAGTAATTCAAGTTAGATTATTTTCTCATAAAAAAAAAAAAAAAAAATCACAGATACGTGAAAAAATAAAATATTTAATAAAATGCAAAACGAGTTCGTGTTACTCTAAGAGTTAATAATAAAATAACAAAATATTCGATTATATTTTACATTGAACATTTTCATATTATATTATATTCGTCCTCATGATATACCACCAATGATGGTTTTAAATTTTTATTTCATTTTTCTTAGGAATACATAAATATATACATATATATTCAGACATGTAGGTAAGAAAGTAATCCTTTAACGAGAACCCCAGCTGAGAAGACATCGTTAGCAAAGCCTCCGCTACACCGCCACTGCTATCACTCTTATACCGGACAAACGTGTACACATCGTGCTCGAATCGATAACGTCTATAATGAGCTTTATTTGGACTCATCCTTTTCCGTTATTTACCGGCTGCCACCACTACTACACTTCGCGTAGATACTGAGAAGGAAAAATGAAACGGTGACGACGGATATAGCTCGTTATTCATCCAAGATATTAATGGAATAATGGAATTTAACTTTGACCGTCGTCATAGTCGTACTTTTAAGCATTTTGCATGTAGCTCGTTAACAAATTCTCTCCATTAAAAATTCTCACACCGAGTATACGCCAACCCACGCATAACAAGCAAATTAATATATAATGTTGAATCTCTATGGAGTGCGAATGACCATCAGGTCGATCGCAATACGAGGAGTTAGAATTGATCGTGACTCACTTTCATTATTTTTTTGTTCAACTTACGAATAATAATTAATTAAGGCAATATGTAGTAACAATAATAGTAATAAATAACTATGAAAAACGAGATTGAATAACTATGTAGGTAAATGTACGTAATCTAATGGATATTCCGTATAAAATAAAGGTTATTTTAAATAGAAGAAATAAAAGAAGTGCAACATGTAAAATGCATGTAAATGAAAAAAATTTTTTGCTCGTCGACAACTTTTTTCATTTTTGGTCGATCAAGACAAACCTAGAATAGCTCAGGAATTTAACATAACATAAGTCACAAGTCTTTAAAAGTTGGCTACTTCTGTTGTAGATCAGTGATAATAATTAACACCTATACATGTTTTTTAATGTTCTACGACTGATTTGACAACATGAACGGCGAGATGAGACGGTGGTATACGGGTGGAATGTAAAACAAAACATTTTACGATGTGGTATTAAATGCATTAAATACGACAGAAAAGAAGAAAAACACTTTTCAGGCAAAAACCTCGAAGGATTGATCTCCTTCCCCTCGTTAGAGGTAGATACACTTGCGCGAGCGTCAAATGCTGCAACTTTATGGATTGATTAATTATATTGTTATAAACCGATGAATTTAAATTGTGCACTTTCCCTATTAATTACGATGCAATACCTATGAGATTTTCTAGCTTGAGCTCTTTTGAATATTTTAAATGATTATTTGACATGCACGGCGGTTCATCGAGGCAATCAGTATTAACTTAAAGTTTCCATAGGAATATATAAATACGAAAACAATAGATTTTCTGCTATCATGTATGGCTGTTGTCCATTTATTTAAATATACTGAGAAGATAACTGTAATTATTCGAATACCGTACACAGGTACAACCAAAAAGCCATAGCCGAAAACAAATTATCTAATAATAAGTTCTAGAATATCCTACATGGTAGAAGGTTAATTATAATTTATCAAATGTCCGACGGTAAACGAACAAATATTTTATATGAAGCGATTAGTATATTATTTTAATGTAAACACTACCTTACACATAAATAGTTTGAAAACATGAGGAATAGTTTTCAAGTTCTTATTATTTGAATTTTGATAAGCACATCAACAGCAGATGATTTTTTGATAAAATGCGCTAATTTTTTTACTCTTGGTAGGTATACATGTATTCATCATAAAATTTATCAAGTTTTAATTCACAAAAGTGTAGTGTGTAGAACACTAATTCAATTAATATCCATCGAATTATATTTCTAATTTACTTATTAATTTGTAAGGAATTGTATACGTAAAAATGGACGTAGAAATTGTACGACCAGGAGAGAACGCCTAAGAGATTACGTAATAATTTATTACCTAAATTTCTTGGCCAGTAGAAATAACTCATAAAAATTCTATACCGTAATGAATGAGTTTCTTGACAGATCTGTATTCGCCATAGCCGATTATCTCTATGCATTAAATATTGCATTAAGTATAAATTGGTAGGTAATAAATTATAACACTATTGGAACAAAAAATACCCGTTGAAATGAGAGATTTGGACGAAAGGAAAAATAAATTAATTTATCACGGTTTGAAAACGAGCATAGAATATGGTTATCAATTTTTCAATATAAATTCGCATTGGTTGCACATGACTTAACCATAAAATCCTAAAACGGATGAAACATAAGAAAATACGATGCAATAATAATCACATATATATGTAGAAAAAACGAATGCGGCTCAAGGCGTTTCTCGACAATTTTTTGTTCTCGCCAAATAAATACACACACAAACATAGTGCATACATACATGTCTGCGTGCATATATACATATTATAGATATGCGCACTCGGGGGAAAACTGTTCCTCAATACGTCAGACGTCGAGAGCACACCGAGGAGGATTTACAGCCTAGAAAGTTATATTATTCCGGTCGACTGGCCCCGGACGTGGAAAATAAAGACCGTCGAAACAAGGGTTTTTTTTATTTATTTATTTTATTATTATTATTCGCTTGCACTTCCGCTACAATACTTCTATTTACCCATGCATCGTGTGCGTATGTTCTTTGTGATACATCAGGGTCGAAATAAAAAAAAAAAAAATAACCCAACACCGAGAATAAACGTTTGAACGGCTCAGGTGTGATAGGGTAAGAAGTATTATGTGGGGGGTAGTAGTAGGGCGAGGAATATCGTGATTTCCTACAATCTCGCATTTATCTTGTCACCTTTTCACCCTCCCATCCACATACACATATTAAATATATATATATATATATATATAACTGATACTATTCGGTTTACACACGCGAGCATAAGCCAGAGGGGGAAAAAAATGTAATTATTGTTATTAATACTATTGTTTTATCGACCAGACGGTGGTGGAAGACAATGGATATAAGTCGTGACACCACGTTCTCTGCACATAGCTTCAGGCACAACAGTTCTCACTATAACTTCTGGCAAAAGACCGAGTACACAGGCGACGCAAGCGAATCATAGGGTCTGATCAATTTAAAAGGGTATACGCGACTTCTGCGAATGTCAATAAATACAGAGCTATGGGCCTGCAGGTTCTTCCGTTAATAATTTTCATTAGATTTCTGTATAGCCATGCAACGAACATGTACATGTACATTAAAAGATGGAATTGATTAGCGGGAGACAAAATTTACAACAACGGAGAGAGAGAGGATGGGTCTGAAAACTAAGTGATTATGAGTGCTATAATAACAATATGTGACAGCAGTTGAGTCCCAACTATTAATAGTTTTTATTCACCGAATCATGATTCATTTAAAAATATGTGTATAATGTAATCTGTATCTGTAGTGTATGATTTTACGAATACCAAACAACGATATCAGATAATGCAAAGCGAGTTGAAATTACGCTTTTATCAAACGTCTAAATGAGTTAATTTCATTTTTCTTTAAGAATATTGTGAAAAATAATGAATAATGATTTCCCTTGATAGAAAAATAAGACTCCAACTTGTGCTGTGATCATATTGTTAGATAAGTTTTTCAAATGTTGCTATCAATGAAAGATTAATTTATTTTGTAATATCACTTTAGGAGGGGGAGTGGGCATTATAATCAGTAAAATAAAATACTGTTGCAGAAAAACGTTTGATAAATTAAAATAAATTAAAACATTTGAAAACTTTCTAAACTTTTTCAGAAACGGCAAATATGACATTTTAACCAATGAGGAGTTTAATGTAAAAACAGAATTTGAACTCTTCAAAAAGTTGTGACGCTATCTCTTAATCTATAACAACTCGACGGTTTAATGCTCTTAACGCCATTTAAAGCCAGCAAGTTCAAATCAAAACCCCGTTTCATAAGCTAAAAGAATAAAAACTTGTTTTATCATTTATTTCCGCCTTTCCCGCTACATGCCATATTCTATTACATTTATACGTATACGATCGAACTGTTATCATACCTGATTTTTCCCTTTGAGTACAAGCACATTGGTGACTTTGCCAAACGGAATGCCCAAATGTATAACTTCAGCCTCGGTGACTTCGTTGGGTATGTTGCGTATGTGTATCACTCGGGACGGCTTGTTGTTGGCAGTTTTGTCTAGTTTGACCTGTATACAGAAAATAAACGTTGGTCAAAAGGTGGTGGACGACAATTTCGGGCCGCACGCCAGCTGCACACAATTGGACTGCCGCAGACAACGAGAATTCAATTTGCGGCCTGGATAGGGGAGGTATATTATTTACCGCATGTAGCCCCCAGAAAAATAAAAAGAGAAAAAAATCATTACAACGCGTAAGTTGACCTAGACGCCTACTCGTGTAAACAGAATCACAAACAGTAGTTTCATGATTTCGAATAGGTAGAGTGAGTTCCTAAATACAAAGTTCAACTAAAAACAGGATAATTGAAGTACCTACTGTTAATATATTAATGAATACCAACTGCAATAAAACACGAGTATTTGTTTGCATTATTTTTGTTGTTTTTCTTTAATTCCTTAACTCAAATTAAATTTATCCAGGCAAACATTTTAATAACCGTTCAGAAAAATTTCCCCGACTATTACCAGGAAAAATTCAAATTATCAGTAATTTATCAGTTACTAGCCACAAAACCAAAACTGAAACAGTTGGTTTATTAAGTTATTGGACATTTTAGCAAGTATAATGCAAATTCTGAAACACGTAAGATACCCAGGATTCCAGGATTTAAAAGTTTCTTTCAAATATCAAAATTAATTTAAGTTCCTTTTAACCACATTATAAGCCTTTCTTATTATTAATCTTTTTTTATTGATTAGTTTATATTGTCATGCATATGTGATTTTTCGATTTGGTTTTTACTACCTAATCTACAGCACCACTCTTTTATTAGTATTTATCTTAATTTTTTTATATTTTCATAATGAAATCAGAAGTAGGCGTACTGCAATATACATAATGGCATTATTTAGTATCAAATTTCTCAAAGGTTTGATTAAACGTAATTTACAGATATTATTATAAGAATAACTATTATAAAAAATAATTAAGGTTATTGAAAAGTCTTATAATGAAAATATTTAATAATGTGTTATATTGCGGATGTACAGATTTTATAGTATTTAATAATGAATCGAAGAGACACTCTTAGTTTAATTACAAAGTATTTAAATCATATTTTGCTTTATAATTATTTGTTAGTTTTTTTTTTTAATTTGAAGTAAGCATACGGGCCAAAGCGTCCTACAGAAAAAATAAACGTAGTTAGAGCACAATATTATAAAAGCATGGAATTTAAAATACACTAATTATGCGGGTAATACGCGTTCATCTAGACATTTAGTTAAACAATTTAGTAAATAAGTTTTAATACGTATATGAAAAAAACATTTTCGTAACATAGATTATTTTCAATAAATAAAATAATACTATTTACTGAGTTAAAAATATTGAAAGCTTTTTTTCAAACTTGCATAGAAAATGCAATGTAACACCCCTGTCATAGTAATTAATAGTATTTAACAATAACATAAAATAACAAGCATTAGAATAGGCTTCAATAATATTTTCAAATATCAACATAATGTACGCAAAACCATATCACACGTAAAACATTGGATAAAAATTCGAATATTCTGTAAATATTTCGATGAAGTGTATTATTTATATATATGGTTTTATGTTTAATTGGGGAAAAAATTACTCCAAAACGAAAAGCTAATTTAGAGATATAATTATGTTTATACGCACATTTATGCGCAGCTAGTTCGGGCGAGTGATTCGGTGGCAAGACGTGACATGGACGGTAGTGGGATTTTTCTTGAAATGGACTTTTAATTTTAACTTTACAGAACAAACGAGTATTTTGCTGAAAACGTCCCAGAGTAAACAACAAAAAGAGGACGACGATGAGAAGTTTTATCAATTTATGTAAGAAGAAATATTATCTAAACGACAGAAGAATAGGAAAAGAGAGATATAAAGGGTAAACAGCGAATACACCCTACATATACAAGCGTAATATGCACATTGACTGACTGGATTCTTCTCCGTTGTAGAGAGGGGGGTAATACGCGACCGTTTCTCTTTCTCAATTATCTCGATTATATTACCATCGTAATGATTTTAAACTGCTCTTTAGTGACCTAATAACCTATAATGCCAGCCGAAAATTTACGTCTCAAACCACCCACCACCCTACACACAGCACGGAGAGAGTTCACAACTTCAACTAATGTCGGACGCTGTTCTCTACAAACTCTACAACAACAGTATGAGCGCCCATTCCATGTGTACAATAAATAATTCATCTAAGAACTCCTTTAAAATTATCCGAAGCGTTTAGCACACGGTGCGGGCAAGCGAACGTCACGGACTGGGGGGGAAAACTTTTCCCTTACTCATTTCTGGTTAACATGCATAATTATTGTCCACTTTTTGTACTCCAGTTAATAAGGAATTTTTCCTTTTTAATTATTTTTATACTCCTAGCAACCATTCACGCAAAACCATCATCCCCTGTTAAAAATACAGACATCCGCAAAGAACTTTCGCGTCCTTATAGTAGACGCGTAGAAATGGTAACAACAAGAGAGGCTCGAAACAGCTACAACATGATACGTGATTACAGTAAATACGATACGTGGTGAAGCGGATATACGGACGACAGAAGGGAAAGGAAAAGGGTGAATGGGGGAAGGAAGAAAAAAATGATAAAGTAAAATTTATAAATCCTTTACGTTTCGTAATAATAACGCGCGGCCCTCGAACACCGGCATTGCCGTCGTATAGAGGAAATATACATTATTTCGGATTTCATATGCAATTTTTTTCACGCCTGTTAAAAATGAAAAATCGTATAGCCAAGGCTTCATAGTATAACGAGCAAACGGGACACCGAGTATATATCGAACTTTTTTCTTTTTTTTTTTATAACCACCTCTAAAAGCGTTCAACCATCAAATTCGGTTCGGGCGAGCGCACGTCACACCCTATACTTTCCCACCCTTAACTCTCCAACTACCACATTCAAACATTATTACAGCCTTAGTGAGGGAAATTTAATAAAGAATAATATATATTTAAAACACTGACTGGTAAACGATGTTATTAAAAATGTTGGCTATACATAATCCATAATACACTTAATAGCGTCTTCAGCCAACACGCTTTTCTTTCATTCTATACCATCTCTTCCCTCACCCACTCCGTCGCCACATTATCTATATGTTTCTCCCTCGCTTTTATCGTGTCCACCAACTCTTTTTATTCGTGCCTCCCTTCTCTTTTTCTATTACACCTCGCCAGTATTTGACAGCCGTCTATCGACACCTGCTAGTGGATCTTGTGTATTCATGTGTAGAAGGCATTTGTGCATGTTAGTGCACACTTGCGTATGACAATGAGTTCAAGACCATCACACCGTCAACGAAAACCAAGGGAAATATCGTACTCTCACCACCACGTGTAATATATAAGTGTTCGATTGTTATTATTATTTTTTTTTTATTCGCCCTGTGTTTTTAATCGGGTTGTCATGACAATCAGTACAGTTCGTCTCGGTTTCTAAAACTAGAGGGTGGATGTCAACAAGTCGATTGACGCGTGCGATGGCCGTTATCATAATCTACACATAGCACGTATGTTCCCTCCCTCCCTCATAGTAAACGTACGGTATTAACACACATTATGTGTGTTTGAATATTTACCTCTACATTCTTATCAAAAAGCTTAACAGCGCGTCCGAACCACTCGAAATTCGATTCCATTGGAAACCTCTATATATTATATACACAGAAAACGCGTAACTTTACGCAATATGATACGCGGGATCAATTATCCCCGTCCGCAAATTACACCGAAGTGCATACAAACGCATATTCTAGTCATTAAATTACACAAGCCTAACCCCGAAAGTTAAATTATCAGCAGACATGTATATACGTTTTTGTGTCACCACATTTACTGAAGGGTTAATTAACGATTTCGTATGTGCGAGCAAAACAAATGTCTCGACGATTGCGGCTGCCGACAACGTCTATTATCCGAGACAACTGCATTCCGAAATTAATCACGTAATATTTTCCGACAAAACATGTACATAATTAAGGCAAATCGGTTAATATTCCGTACAAAAACTGTGAACTTATAAATTTTTTCAATGTCACCAGATTGTCGAGAAAAACATTCTTCGCAAGTCAAACAACAGTAAGTATGCAAGAGAGCGTCAATCGTAAAACATTATTTAAGAACCTGTCTTGACAGTATACGATGATGAATCTATGAAAAGCATTTCTCGAATAAACCCGAATGCAACAGAACCAAAACAAATATATACAAGAAATGGGATTTTGCGAAAATTGCATTTCACAAACGCAATACTTGACGGGAGATTTCCTTAGTCAATATTATCTTAGACGTGAAATAGGAGTAGAGAGCAACGCCTTCGTCAAAATTCTGTTTGAGAAACAACGATTTTTTTTTATTTATACATAAAAAGTTACTGGCGTATTTGTCAATCATCCATAGCGAGTTCCCTATTGAGGCTTTAGTTTGCACACATGTCAAATGTTGATATAAATATAATAACAATAGTAATAATAATAAAAAGAAAAAACTGTTTCAAAAAATGATCAAAACCGCATATTGTCACGTGGAATTCTATAAGGTCAAATCGCAAGCAAATATTTATATATTTATACACATATATCGACGCAGCAGTTGCTATCAATCAGATGTTAAGCTCATTTTGTAGAGGTCTGATAAAGAGTGGGGAAAAAAAATAATAATAATAAAAATCGGCCATTTACCTTCTTCGCATCGTTATTGTTGTCCACGTGATTAGTTCCCATCGTGTCTCCATTGCTTACCGGTCCTCCTTCAACTCCAGGTGATGTAACCATCTCGTCAGACCCGCGCTGTGAACAAAAGTTTAAAAAAAATTACATTAGATACAGCACTAGACACAACGGGATAAAATGTTCATTAACTCGCGCCAACGTTTTCAGTCGACCACTTCACTCATGCAGGGTTCTAATGAAGCACGATAGTCGTCATTAAAAAAAAATAATAATAATAATAATAATAATAATAAAAAGTTCTACGGGGTGGACTTATAAAAGCACATTGCTTGTTTACATAGTCTTTCTTTTTTTTTCTGTATCCATGCAGCACAACCTTTGTGCACGTATTCTCCTATCGGGGTGGAAAAAAAAATTCATTTACATCAGGCAATAACGTCAAAAGACCTTTGTACGTGTTGGGGACAGCTCATTTAATATATATATAAATTTAATATTTATTATATTATACGTGTACAATGTACATAAATCTATATTATAAGTAAAAAAAAAAACACATGATCTGGAAAATATGTTGTTTTCTATACGAGTGAAAAAGTATATGAAATTAAGTTTAAAAACAAAACTAAGCTATCAATATATAGCACGCTTAATGACGGCGAATGTAATATAAATATATACATTGTTTGTCAGTTCCCAACAAACTGTGATTGAACGAAATTAATTTTTTCCCCATTGATTACATTTCTCTGTGTTTGAAATAACTAAAACGGAAAATTTCATTCCTATCTACATTTTTTTTATTAGTTCTCTTTTTCATTTTTATACACTCATAACTTCGTTATTAAATATAGTCGTATAGATTTATCATTTATTTGTGTATTAAAAAAAAAAATGAATCAATTTCCATAGCGCTATAGGTTTTTGTAACCTCGTGAAGTAAATATTATCAGCCGGGTCTTAAAATATTTACCCCAACACTCGGGAACACTAAAATGCGTAATTGGGTAAAACGCTATATTCCACCTACCTGTCGCGCTTTTTTAATACACTGATGTTCAAGCGACTTTCAAACTTGACCAGTTATTATACATTGTATTTTTTATATCAGCTTACCCAGGTGGAGTGTGTAAAAACTAAAAAAAATCATAATCCATCACAAAAAAAAAAAAATTAATAAATAAATAAAAGAGATACTGGTGTATGTATACGAGCGATATTTTTGTTAAATCCGACGACAGCCGAATTACGGTATAAATAATCGTAATTAATAATAGTTTTTTAACTTTCCAATAAGTCAATTATATTCTCGTCGAAATTACCATTGTATATATGCACAAGAGAGTGATGAAACAAATGCTAAGCCGAGTTTTTCCTCGCCATTGCTATACTGCCTGTGCCCTAAAAATTAAATATAGTTTTATACAACCGGATATTGTACAGGAGACTTTTTTTGTTTCATTGTAATTATTATTACTATGGTTATTATTATTATGATTATTATTATTATGCAAATGTCGTTTACCGGGCAGACAGAATTCTTGAACGAGTAATTAGTTTTAAATAGGGCTTTATGCGAGCGTGCGAGAAGCAGAGGAAATAAGGTAACATTATAAAAAAAAAATCCAGCCACCGGATGCCGGCATTTTTTAGATACCGAGAACTTGAAAAACGTTAAAGTTTTCTACCCTTCGTAGAACACCATTTATATTCATGGCTGGAGGAGGAGGAGGAGCGGTTAATTGAAAGAATGAATTGTGGATCTGACACGGCCAGTAGGATGAAAAATTGTAAAAATAATAATAATAATAATAATAATAATAATAATAATAATAATAATAAAGTAAGACATGAGAAATTTGTGTCAGGGATTGCATACAGCAATGTTCGTAGAAAACGGTCAGAGAAAACCGTTTACAGGCATACATTTCTTTCGTAAAATCACATTGTTTAAAAAAAATGTTTTAAGAGCAAAACTCGAATTTGAAAACGCATAACAGTCATAATATATCAATATAAAACTTTGATAAAACACATACGAAACGGGAAAAAATGATTTCATAGTTACTGAAGCTAGAAGTCGTACAATATAACCCCCATTCAGCGTTACATAATTACTAATTGTTATTACGGTACGAACAACAATAAGATAGTAATATAGTACACGTGGCATTCGTATAGAATTCCACACAACGCAGTCGTACATGTAATTATCGAATTCCTATAATTAAACATGATTTGTATATATTTAAATGTGGTTGAAATAAAGGTGTGCGACCGAAATCAATGCTTTTCGGATATTTAAGGGTTTCGTTTTGTACACACAATGGACTACACGACGTCGTCGTGACGCTCACAGGTGATTTCGTACTCGGCGGAGCGTGAAGATTGGTATCGGAAAGAAGCTCGTCGATCCGTGATAGTGAACCAATGACGAATAGACCTTGATTCAAACAAGTGTCCGTACATAATTCGAAAAGAACGTGCGCGCCGTCGTCCATCTCGATAATATAGTAACAACATAACGATCAAAACTATCGAGATACTATTGTTAGACTACTGCACGCTAAGAATATCACCTCGGTGACAATTTATTACTATTACTACTATTATTATTATTATCATTATTATTTTATATTACAAACAAAACGTATCTCGGATACGATTTGAGGGCGTCCGTAGCGGCATACGTGCGGATTGTCGATTTTCACGCAGTCGCATTCACTGTCGCTGCTGCTACTACGGTTGATGCAGTGCGCAACAATAATATTTTATGAACAGCAATTATTTTGTACAAACGAGTTATTTTAAAGTCCAATATTAAATTACACACCGTTCGACCTAAAGCAACAAATACGCGCGTTTTATCGTAATATGATTATACGTAGGTGTATACCCTTGTAATAGGGCGGCGGTTCGGCAGGCTAACTGGAGGATATATATGGAATTATTATGTAGTATGTAGACCGGACAAGCGGAGGTGGTAGATTTTATTTTATTTATTTCTCTATTTATTATTATTTTTTTTTTTTTTTGATTTATTTATTATTTTTTTTTTTTTTTTTTTTTTTTTTTTTCTCGCTCGGAAATCCTTTTGTACCACCATGTATATATATATACATTTGTACAATATATAAACGCGCAACTCGAACTAATTTAATTATTTTTATAAATCGAACAGGTATATACACATAAATTTGTGTGTACGCGACATGAGAAATATTCGTTAGGCAGAATATAAATGTGGCTAACGCATCCACTGGACTAGAGTAATATAACGCGTTCCGTGTTTAAGTTAAGATAATGAATAGTTATAATTACCGGAATACGTGAAATTCAAACACGCGATTACGTTGAAAAAATAATATCTTAATCGTAAAGTTCGGAGTTACATTTCAGTTAGCGATCGACCGAATCAATTTTGATCCAAACTGTTTAAAACATAAGTGTCGCACGTGCAAGCGGAATTCTAGTATACAGAAAGCGTCGCGTAGTAATGGCGATGTACATTCTGATGTTGTGTAGAGTTCCCGTGAATACGTATGTGAATATAATGTTTAGCCGCGCGTTCCGGATGTCATCGGAGGAAATTAGATGTCAAAATTATACATATGATATTTTATCAGTAAACATAGCCACCCCGGGCGCAATAGGGGATTAGATTAAAGACGGTGGTGCCATTGAATTGCCTACACGGGACGCCGTCTGAGGAATTGCGAAGGTCCGGGAAATGGCGAAGGCCAAAAAAAAAATAAAAAATATTTCGATCTATATCTGTGAGTGATAACCTGGGCAGAGGCCAGATATACAGACGAAATGGTTTAGCCGATTCCCGGGAAAGTATCATTAGAAGATAAAAACTTTGCTTTTCTCTCGCAGGTTACGATGATAACTCGCGGTAAAATACGCACGAAAATCATAATTTCAAAGATATGGAAACCTAATATTCTCATACATAGCACACTGGACTCGCGAGTAAAATAAACGAAAACGAAAAAAAAATGTATCGGCATTGCTACCATATGTTCATCGTCAGAGTATAAAACTTCTTTTATTGTGAATCTCTTGGAAAGGTAGAGTGATAAATCGGCCAGCAAGACGCGGGTGCGAGTTTGTTTTATTCCCCGACGGCACACAAACCCGAAATTGATTTTCGTCGTTTCGGCAAAACGAGACGGAGAAAAATATACGTCGAACGACACTAAGGTAAAAAAAATAAAAATAAAATTCGTTTCGCACCCGAAAAGTAAATAAGAGAACGGTCTGATCCGTGTTCCCATGGGAAAGTTCTAGCCATCTGTAACTAGCTGGATTTCCGCAAAAATTTATAAAAATATATGATGGTCAACTGCAGCAGAGTAACATCAAATGGTCGGTTATAAACTACAAATCGAAAACATAGATTTATCGCGTACGAAAGTCGAATGCAATCAGTCAGAATTTACAACTTCAGTGCGTAATATAAATAAATATTACGTAGGAAAAACCATTATGTAATAGGTGAAGATTAATAAACCAAGATGTTTGTTCGCTCTGTCGATTTCATGGAGTTGCTGTAGTACAAACGGGCATACATGTTTTTCATGCGGTGGAAGTACAACAAACACACACTATCGACGAAAGTTTATAATAACTCTTCTCTATACGGGTGTACACGTGCGCGAAATAGTTCGCAAAACAATTTAGGACATATTATTATTATAATTTGGCAAAACACAGACGCCGCCACAGCAACCGACGCTTAAATCAAAACCGAAAAAAGTTTGTGCACGTGACGACGACTCGTTATTGATCTGATAAGTTTCGAACACATCCATGTATGAATACATATACCTATATAAATTAAATCGGTCGAGATCAATTAATCATGCTTATAATATTCCCATCAAATCTACAGTATTGTTTTTAACCATTATTTCTACGGCGTACGTGATTTTATTAAAAACTCTTTGATCGATATCGTGTGGAACACTTTCCATATATAATATATGAATACGTTACATGAAAGAAATGTTCTACTTTCCCATACATATAGTAATAGTGTAGGTATCATGCAATATTTTGTAAAACCACCACGGAGATCCGTCTTCGCTTAACTGGGTGGCGTATACGGGACA